AAAGACATAAAAGTTTCAACTTTTGAATATATTTCATATACGAGTATAAGATTAATTTTGGATATAACAAAACACAAACCCAGTGAAACAAGAGGCAGTAATTCAGACCAAACGCTACTGCTTTCCCAGGATTCTGGACAAGGGCTTCCTTCTTATTTCATGTGCCCCGAGCCTCATCAAGCCAAGTTCAGTCATGTTATTTCTCTCACATCCTTCCTAATCAGCAAACACAAATCTAAAGGCTGCACTTTCCAATACATCTTGATGTGACAAGAACACTTTCCCCCATCGAACATACATATATCAATTTGTTCCCATTTAGAGGAAAACATCTAAAAGGTAAAACTACCCTATTAATGATCTGCTTCTTTGGGAATGTTCAAACGGCATAGGTCAGTTTTCATAATTTCAAGAGCACAAAGGTTTGTCGCGGTCATGTTTGCCTCAGGAGGCCCTTCAGAGTCACATCTGCCCATTTCTCTTTCGTGCATACACCCCTAGGCAGGCACAGATGCCTGTAATGCTAAGAACCACTCCTAACAAGAGAGCAATCGCATCTCCTGCTTCCACCGCTTCCACCACAGGCAGCACGGAGAGCAGTGAAATCAGGGCCAACACCAACTGAGTGGGAGCCGAGGGCATGATGCTGGAATCTTGCGGTGGCTGGATCTCCAGGCCGATGGTTCCAAAGAAATGGAGGGATATCTATATGTAATTCTATCTGATTTTAAACACTCCGTTCTAGGAACTCAGGATGCAGAAGCTAAGAGGTCCCACGCGACACCTTCCTGGAAGCAGCCATGACAGGAATCGACAGTATATCTTTCAATAGCCAGGCTCCATCAGCTTTCTTCACCACATTTACTTATGCACCCACTTTTTGTCTTCAGTGATTTTGTCGGGAAGGTGAGCACCATGGAATGCCAGTTCCTTGAATTCCATTTCTATAGGCTCAAGGCTTACCCACAGGAAGCCTATATATATATTTTTCTCCTTTGAACAAAATCTTGCAATAACTTTCTCTTTTTGGGTAAGTCCATCCTCAATGAGTTATCCTTTCACATTTACAAGAATTTATCTGTAACCAAACCCATTTACATAGTCTCATTCATGCTATTTTCTATCATAATTGCTAATAACACTATTTTTAGAATTGGCAGAAAGCATCAACATTAATATCCCATTGCCACCGAGTTGATTTCAACTCATGGGTACCCTATAGGACAGAATAGAATTGCCTCATAAGTTTCCAAGGCTGCAACTTAAAAAAATCTCTACTGTGAGTTGGGTGAAGGTTTATAGAGCACACCCGTTTTCCATTTGACAATTCACACATTTTGTTTCATGGTATTGACTGCAATCTGTTCAATGTAATTATCACTTATCCCACTTCCTGTTTCCATTCCCCCCTTCTTTCCTGATGCTTCTGAACTTTATCTTTGAATAAATTACGTTCTTCTGATTCAAATGGTTGATTAGTGTTACCTTTTACCTTATAGACCTGCCTATTGTTTGGCTGAAGATTGAGCCAAGGGAGTGAGTTCCGTTCCAGACCTGAAGGTGACTAAGGACAATAGTCTTGTGGGTTCCAAGAATCTCTATCTGAGCAATACCCCCGAACTTTTAAAATAATTTTCAACTTTGTTGCACATCTTTCTCCTATTCTATTCCAAAATTCTAAACCAAACTCTCTATCATTGTGTTGAACTGACTCATAGAGACCCTAGAAGAAAGAATAGAACTTCCCCCTCTGAGTTTCCAAGGCTTTAAATCTTCACCAGGGCAGACAAACTCATCTTTCTCACATGGACAAACTGATAGGTTAGAACCACTTACTTTGTGGTTAGGAGCTCAATTAAGGAGTTCTGATGGCATAGTGGGCTC